TTATTTTATTATTATTATTTTTTTTTTCCCCTTTCTTCTTTTGGCTGCTCCCAGCGTTAGGGGTCGCCACAGTGAACTAAGTCACACGAAGACTGGGCAGTTATTTTTATGCCGGATGTCCTTCCTGACACAACAGACCACCGAGCTACCACAGCCCTCTGTGTGGAGCAGAGAGCTGCTATCTAGGACACCCAGAGGAGCAGATGGTGGGGGGTTAAGAGCCTTGCTCAAGGGCCCAGAGTGGGACGAATGAGGGTGGGGGCAGGTGTGGGTGCTTCACCTACCCCACCCACATTTTTGATGTTTTCGGTACCAGGGCTTGAACCGGCGATCTTCTGATCACAGGCCCACCTTCTCTAACCTCTGCGCCACCACTCCCCTCAATAATAAATAAATAAATTTGGTTTGGTTGTTTTTTGGGGGTAAACTCTGCATGAGGTAGCTAAAACCTGCTGGTTACTCCCTTCTCAGGTACTCCACATAACTGATCCATGAGACGGGAGGGCAGGGAAGTTTTAGGTCCATCAAGGAAGAGGAAGTGCAACAAAATACACCAAGCCAAAAATAAACCTCTTTCAAGTTTTTGTTTTTGCTTCATTTCACTAGCAGTTACACCCATTGTGAACTAGTTCTGTCAACATGTTCGGCAGGCAGAATTAAAAACTACCTACAGTCCTTCATGCCAAATTTTAAACAAATATTATGCATTGTTAGCGCTCAGTAAAACTGATGGAGTTACAGTCTGTCTTTGCTGAGGGATGAAGAGCTGTGGGAGCCATCTTGAAAGGGCTTGACTCTAAAATTTACTCAGATGTAAATGTACAGCGACGTCTCAGTGCAAGCCGTTTCTTTGTCTTTATCTGAGCTCTGTACGCGTGTGTGTGTGTGTGTGTGTGTGTGTGTGAATCCATGAAATAGTGAGCTTATCAATAGCACACATCATTGTGGAGGAATTTCAGCACACTCTTACCATTCATCTGGGTTTGTGAGCGTTCAGTAGCACATAGTTTTCTCGAGGTTCTGCCAGAGCATTTCAATCAGATTGCAGTCTGATAGAATCAGTTCTTTGTCTGCCAGATCCCTTTCAGATCTGCTGCTGCGCTTGACATCATTGTTCTGTCACATGACCCATTTCAAGACGACGTTCAGCTGTCCAACAGAATGTCTGGTTCAACTTGTACGAGTGTGAATAATCAGACGGTTTTCCATGCCAGATGAGCGTGCTTGGCTTGTGTCAAAAACATTAAAAGGTGGCCATCCTTCCAAGATGGGAGCTGTTGAGGTTTTTTCCTGATGTAAAGTGAGCACGCAGCTTTCTGATGTCTATTCAATAACCGACAAAATTGGCTATTGATTAGTCAGTTTTACAGATATTGAGCTGACATATCACACGGTAGTAGCTGAGAGTCATGCCCTATACATTCTCTTAACACTACACATTGCGCAACATATTTGCTTTATTTGTATTGACTGTTAGAGGAAATACTGTCTGTCTGTTAGCTAAATATCTCTTGAACTACTGGCTGAATTTGAGTGCAACTCCCAGAAAGTAATCACAGCCTGCACCTTTATAACTCTTTAACATTTAGTGGGAACCCAATTAAAGATGGCCTCCACAGCTGATTATCAGCCAACACAAAAATGGCTCAAACCCTAATAACCTTCACAGATACTGAGCTACATTTTGTGTGGTAGTAGCTGACAGTCATCCCAATGATATACTCTGAGGGCTAACCTTTCTTGTGAGATCTCACAATAATAGCTCACGAGGTCGTGTGTACTGTTATTTGACCAAAACAGCTGCCACTCCGTCCGTTCTCAGCAAAAGATTATTTTAGCTTAAAACCCTGGCATGAAAGGTGGCGGGTGATGTGCATTCCTTCAAGAAAAACTAGGCCCTTTTGTTATGCAGGTCTGGGTTATGATATCTTTAATGTATTTAATTATAACAAAGTAGACTGTAGGAGTTTGAAATCACAGTGTCTCAGTGTAGATCCAGAAATATCAGATATACCTCGTTGGGAGTGAAGGTCTGCAAACATGAAAGACATGTTCGTCCGTGAAAACAGTGTCTGTGTCAACACATGAATAGTGGTGATTTTATCTGACTGTTGTCTGAATGAGATAAAAAGACACGAACAGTGATCATTTAACCTTGAAGTACAAGTACTAGTACAGGAATACTTTGATTAGCAGGAGTCAACGTGAGAAGTTCAAAGGCGCCTGTGGCAGTAAAGGTCAGTGTTATTTTCCAGTGTTTGACTGCTGGTATGAGGTGTGTGTGATGAGATGACGTGTTCTGGATGTCTTTTGAAAAGGCAACACTTGTCTCTGGCAACTCTTCAAAAAAACAAACCTGTGTGGTGTTTTTATGTTTAATAGTGCTTTCAAGAGTTTGAACACTTAACATGTTGACTGACATGAGGTCTGGTGAGTCTGACATGTAGCTCCTGTGTTTGTTGGTTTTAAACTGCTGCAACGTCTGAACTCAAAACTTAGTGCAGAATAAAGCAATGACTTTTATTCCTTCAAACATTGACAGCAGCGATTTTAGCGTTATGAAGATCATTGATAATGAATATCTTTGTGGAAAACACACACAAGTTTGTATTTCTATCCTTATTTAGATATTATATTGACTTTCACCCAAAACATGATTTTTCACAGGATTAGGGCGGGGCTTTGGTTCCTACAGTCCTAACACGGTACCAGAAAAGGTCCTGAAATGTTTCTGATCCACAAACTGACAAACTTTAGTTTTCATGGAGGTGCTCATATTCGCTAACTGTCACATAAATATTACATTTACTTAACAGACGCTTGCTGCTGCTAATCAACTTAATTACCGTATTTTCCGGCCAATAAGTCACTTGGGAGTATCGGTCACATCAGTAAAAAAATGCCTAATGAAGAGGAAAAAACAATATATAATTCACTTCTAGGCCTGTCACGATAATAAATTTTGCTGGGTGATTAATTGCCTCAGAAATTATTGCGATAAACAATAATATTGTTTGAAATTTGACAATAATTACTAATTATTGTCAAAATTAAGAAGAAATGTTGGTTAATTTGTTTTGCATTTAGTACCTTTTTTGACCACTGGATGGCAGTATAAGACTGTTTGAACTGAAGGATGGATAGTGAGGGAGCGAGCAACGTGTCAAAGAAAATGGGAGGGAGGCCCCTTGACGTGACATGAGCTGTCTCTCCTTCCTGTTTTTCAGTTCTCAAAATGGTGGATGCTCGGTGTGGTTTGAGCTCTTTAGCATAGCATTTTTCACACAAAACTTTTAATTAAAAAATCAGTAAACAAGTTCTCAGCTTCTTTTTGCAGAGAAAAACAACTTGAAGACACGGGTTTCAACCGTGAATTGTGGAGTTTCGACAAGACAGAGTTTTTTCCCCCAAGGCCGGCCTGTTAGCTTAGCTCGTAGCTTAGCTTCTCAGCTTAGCTGACTTAATGATCCAAAAAACGTGATTTTGGAAAATTAAAACATATTTTAAAGAAAGAAGAGAAAGGGAAGGGTCAGTGAAGAGCACCGGAGTTGAGCCTTTTGTCATCCAGTGTCTTGAGAAAGAGAGAGACACAAAGAAACTATAAAGCCGATAAACGAAAATGAGGTCGAAATTTTTAATTTATCATGCGATGAATTGATTTATTGTTTATCGCGACAGGCCTAGTCGCTTTGGAGTATAAGTCACATTTATTTAGACGCGTATTTCACAAAGTGCAAGAGCAGACATTCAATTTGAAATAACAATAACGCACAGAACATACCTGGGATCCAAAACAGGCTTAATTAACATAACGAGCCAACGAGTCCAAGAAGTAAATCACCAGTAAATTCACCAGTCTCATTCCACATCACTGAATCCATTGAATTCTTCATCCTCAGTGTCGCTTCTGAACAACTCTGCATTTTGGGGGCATTTTACTTGTGTTAAGTTGTTCTCAGTTGTCACTAAATGAATGTTTGGGGTGGGGGGGTTAGTGGTAGAGGAACAACATGTAGTTGTCAAAAGCCTAGAGGGCCCTTTTGCGGCTGCAAATGGTAATATTTACTCTTTGGTTCATGTCAGTATGAATGAACATTTAACGCATCAGTCAAAAATTGTGTCATGAATAGGGAAAAAAACGTAAATAAGTCGCAGGACTGGTCAAACTATGAAAAAAGTGTGACTTCCCACATAGCAAAATTGGTCTGGGCCAGATGTGGCCCAGATCTGGCACTTACATCTGGCCCACATGGCTCAATGAATGATGGGCCCCCCATGGCCCAGGGCTGGTTTGCCAGATGTGGCCCATATGTGGCCAGAACTGGGCCAGGTGTGGGCCAAATCAGGACACACCACCTGGCCCATAGCTGGCCCAGATATTGTTTTACCTCTGGCAAACCAGACCCGGACCAGTGGTGGCCCGTCATTCATTGAGCCATGTGGGCCAGATGTAAGTGCCAGATGTGGCCCACATCAAGCTAAACCATCACTGGCCCAGGTGTGGCATGCCTCATGTGAACCGTGCCATCATTGCCAGACCTGGCCCATGTCTGGTTGACATCCAATTTGCCATGCCAGAAGTTTGCCGGATTTGTGCCAGCAGAATGCCAGATCCGGTCCAGGTCAGTCTGCTATGTGGGTTATAGTCCAAAATATACGGTACTTTGAAATGAGTTCAGATGTACCTGGTCCTATTTTTTCCTTGTGTTTATTTGTGTTTCCTTGACTTCTGTTCAATGAATATTAACACAGAGTCATTTCTCATATTTTATCCATCTGAGACTGAATTGATCCAACTCTAAGTACATCAAAAATCATGGAACTCAAAGAAGGTGTACTTCTACTATGAAAACAAATGAAATCATTTTAAATGTGGACAATATTACCTTGTGTGTAGACTCTGGCATTAAACCAGAGTAGTGCAGGTTAAACTTGATTTCCTTCCAAACTTCTCCAGAACCCGGGAAGGAAAAACCCACTTTTACCAGAGCTGCAACAAAGAAGGAAAGAAAAGAAAAATGACTCAGGCACAAAACAAACAAACACTCATAAGCACTAGATGGAGCTCTTATTTTCAATACTCAGAAGGAAGAAACGAAATAAACTCAAACCTTCTTTTTCGTCTTCCTCCCCTGACCCTTCGAGAACACCTTCTGTAACAAACGTGCACGGTGGAACAGTGGTCATTAATTACTTGAGCAGATAACAAAATAAAACCCTGACAGGTCAAACTGCATCTAGTAAATTAAAGCATGGAATACTGCAGTTAAGAACGAAGTAATACTTGAGATTTTGGAACGGTCAGAGCTACCCTGCAGAGTGATGTGGATCTGCAGACATGGTTCATACACGTCGGTGACGTCAGCGAGGAAGAGGCCGGCAGTGAGCTGCACCTGCGTGATGCGGACGGCGCCGTACGGATCCCGCAGCTTCTGACTGAACTGAACGTCTGAGAGAACAAAAAGTTTCTGTTTTAGACAAAGTGCAGACGTGCAGAGTGGTTGTTGTGTGACGGACGCACATGCACAACACTGATCATGTTACCTGAGCTCACACTGCAGTTTGTTAAACCCTGGAAGGATAAAGAAAATAAAACAATGAGCTTTAAATACCAGTAAAACAAACACAATGCTCACAAGAACTTTCAGGAAAAGAGAAGAGAGAGTTCTGTCTGAGGAGAGCTTTATGTTGTGTCTTTGTTTCTTGTTTGTTTATGATTTTGAACTGACGCCACCCGGGAGGGATGCTGAAATGTGCCGTTAAGGGCCATCGTCAAAGGGGCGAGGTTGAGGTGATGTGGTCTTTCCTACCTGACTGAACTGACTTTTGTCCTGGGAGGGTTTTCCACCACATGCTTAAAGCATCCTAAACTTGCAAAAGAGTTATTAAAGTGATAAACAACCATGAATAGGGGGAATATGTCAGGGGGGTTAGGTAAAGGTCATGGATGTATGGATGTTATCACATACTAATGTTACATTAATGTAGAACCATGTGTGTGAGCTAGAGTTGTTTTGTGTGAACAGAGAGGAGCCTGCAGGAGCGAGGAGCCTGCGCACCTGATAAACTCCAGGATTCTAAGCTGTAAAGCAGAGGGTTGTCTTGATCTGGCCTCTGTCTGATATGCATTATAAATATACACTTCTTTATATCGTATGGGGGAAGACCTTGCAACCGGAGCTTTGATGTAACATCTGTGGAAGCCTGTTTTCAATTCTGCCCCCTTGCAAGTAAAAGACTGGGTTGAAAAATCTTCTCTTATCCTCAGTGTGGCTTTTTTTGTTCCAACCTTTATTTAGACAGGTTAATCCCATTGAGCCTCGGGGACTCATTTACAAGAGAGATCTGATTTTTTTTAACAAAGGGTGATGACAACGACGACAACAATAGACAATCATAAAAGATACGTACAAATTTAATTTTTTTATTATTTTTAAATTTTATTTATTTATTTATTTTAAATTATATTTTGTTTGATTAAAGAAATGATGAAAGAGTAATTAATTTATCCAAAAGAAATGTGAAGAACCCACACCTGCCTCCACCCACTCTGGGCCCTTGAGCAAAGCCCATAACCCCCACCTGCTCCCCGGGCACCACAGATGCTCTCTGCTCCACACATGGTGCTGTGGTAGCTCAGTCTTTGCATCAGGAAGATATATATATATATATATATATATATATATATATAAAAATATAAAAATAAAAAAATCTAAATATATAAAATGAACCTTTATATAAAAACATAAATGTTCCTAAGAGATGTTTCCATTTTATATACAGGTTCATGTGAAACATTTAGCTTTGTTCATCTTTACAGTTTCCTCATTGCTCCAGAAAAGACAACAGGTACGTTTAAAGCTCTCCACGGCCAACGGTTTGTAAAACATATCATTAAACATGACTTCCACACAAAGTTAAAACTATATTTTTTAAATAAGTGGCTGTACCTGTGAGAAAAACAAACAACCAATAAACTATTATTATCTCTAAGAGAGTTCACACAGTCACAGCAAACATTCAGTTAGTTTTATGAAGGTGTGACAGTAAACTGGCTCTCAACACCAGGACGGTGAAACTGACGGGTTTACAACTAAAACTCATGACAGTTTACGAAGGTTGATTTTATAACCATACCTCCCACAGAAACTGTAACTAATGTGTCCATTATTAGTCTGGAGGCTCCTTTGTTCCTCCATGACAGGAGTTATCGGTTCATACACATGTACTTATATCAAATCTGTTTATTTCTTCTAAAAATGTTGCTAAAATATGAATATATTTATGAAGAACGCTCATTTGTAATCACTCTTCTCTTACTCTAATCTAATCTAGACCAGATTCCAACCCTTTATAATAGTTTTATTTAATTATTTATGTAATTTATTGCTGTTAATCAGTGATTCTAAGCCCTAATCATAACCATAATTATATTATATTGTTAACAGAGACTCCTGGCAGGAAGCTTTTTTTTTTTTTAAGCCTGAGTAACGTGACCAAAGCTGCAAAAGTACAAAGTAACAGAGATGACGTTTGGTATGAAACCACTGCGTGATGTTTTAGTCCAAAAAGACTTTCAGATGAGCAGCAACAGCATTTATTCTTGAGCTGGATAAGAAAACTGGACGATCCTCCCAAACGCACAAACAAGATGTTACACACATGAACGTGCTTCAGAGCCTCAGTGAGAGAAGGCAGTCGGTCCAGCACCGTCAGATGAGCAGAATAAGTCCTGTTCAGAACAACAAAAACCTGATTCTGCACCCGCTGTGTAAAGTTTCTCTAAAATGAAACATTTAGTTCATCTGAACACACATTCGGCATTAAATTAATCGTTTCTTCTAAACAATATATATCCCCGCAACATCATGTTGCTATCTCTGCAGGTTCCTTTGAGGGAAATCTGCAACAGCTTATTTTTTATGGTCAAGGACAAACTTTAAAATGACAATCACGAGTGTCAACTGTTGTGAAACACACAATCTACAAGAGCCAGGCTTTTGAGAAAACCACAAAGCAGCACTAACACCTCTACGAAAACTGTCACCACAAGTTTACCTCACGTTACTACACACAAGTCTCACACGCACTCTGACTTTAGCTGATATTAAAGATTTATTTGACATTTCAGCTTCTTCCACACTCCCACGGGACAACATTGTTTTGGTTAAGATTATTATTAATGATCATTTTAAAGTAGCAGAGATGTGCAGTCCCTAACGTTTAAAAAACTTTTTTTTTTTTTTAATCTATCTCCTGAAAAACTGTCCTGATGTGCTGAACATTTAATTTGTTCAGATGAAACCTGGGAAAAGGAGCAGCAGGGTAAGGTGTCAGGCTAAACATTAAATAAGTAATGAACATTAAACTTTGATCCTTTAGTGTGCATGTGGCCGTGCATGTGGTATACACTGATAATCCACTTTGAATTATTTTGCTCATGCTGTGTTGAAATATGTGACAGCGCAGACGCTCTTCCATCCGTTTGTAGTGGAAGTGTCTTACCTGGCTGCAGGTGAGTTCAGGTGTGTCCTCCGTCACGATCTCCAGAGCTCGTGCTGTTAGAAACAGCAGAGCAGACACAAAATATGGTGTCCAGAGAAACGAAGGTGTCATTTTTCTCATCTTAGTTGACAGTCTTCGCTTTAACAGGTTCTCCCCCGGAGCAAACGCGACCGTCGTGGCTCCTGTCAGAACCCCACATGTGGACTGGCTCGGAGGACTTGGATCCACACCCTTCTCTCTCACACGCTGACGGGGTTTGAGGCATGTCGCTGCTGCGCCACCTGCTCAGGTGAGCTGGTGGAGACTTGTGACTCGCAGAACCAGTTCCTGCCTTGTCGGTGGATCAGCCGAGCCACAGTTTGAGACCACAGCGCTGAGACAGATACAGCATCCGTCATCATGTTTGCTGATGTTTTTTTAATATTGTTTCAGAGTAAAGAAGATCTTGTTGAATCTCATGTTGTTATTTGAACAGAAACTGAATGACTCAGTCCATAAAGCTGTTGCTCAACCACACAGAGGACTAAAGATCACTGGTTGTAATTTTGTCATGTGTAATTAGGCAATAAAGCATGTTCAAAAATCACCACAACACATCATACAGAATATAAAAATCCATAATTTGCAAATTATTAATAATCAATAAAAGAACTGGAGAAAATGCATTTTCTGTGAAAATACATTAAAAATAGCTGCAGGGACTTCCTGAAGAAGCTGAGGTGTTAAAGCTAAAAGAAGTAAAACACTAGCTAAAAGCCACAAAAAAACTAAATGCTAGCTAAAAGTCAAAGTAGCTAAACAGAAGCTTAAATGTAAGAAAACACTGGTTAAAAGCTAAAGGTTACACAAGCTTAGCTAAAAGAGAAGTGTAGCAAAATGTTTAAGGTAGCTAAGGCCGAGCTAAAAGCAGCAATCAGTTAGCCAAGAGTTTCAATTAGCAAAAGGCTAGCTGAAAGTATCAAAAGGTTAGATATAACCTGAAGTTGCAAAAGGGTAGCTAAAACAAACAAAAATGTCATCTATCTATTCAATTCAATTCAGTTTATTTATATAGCGCCAAATCACAACAAAGTTGTCTCAGGGCACTTTACAGAAACATTCACATACATTAAAGCCAATTAGTAAAGTTTTCTATCTAAAAACAAAAGGTATTAAGAAGCTAAAAAAAAACTAAATGCATCAAAAGACGAGCTGAAATTAACAAAATGTCTGTGTAAAATTTTAATTTAATTTAAAAAATGACTAATTAGTACCGTAATTTTTAGACAACAAGCTGCAACTCTTTTCACAGGCTTTGAACCCCACATTTTATACAATGCTGCAGCTAATTTATGGATCCAACATTTTTCAGTCAGGTCATCTGGACAGTTTCTTTTTTTTTGTGCTGAACGTTTCACCTTCGATCGGAAGGTTTCATAAGTCAAGGAAACACACAACAAAACTGATTCTTCCCCCAACAGCTTACTCCAAAGTGGAACAAACCAGTTCTGCTTGTTATAAGATGGTCTCTTTGGTACGCCCTCTCCTCCATCTTTCAGTCAGGTCATCTGGACAGTTTCTTTTTTTTTGTGCTGAACGTTTCACCTTCGATCGGAAGGCTTCATAAGTCAAGGAAACACACAACAAAACTGATGAAGCCTTCCGGATCGAAGGCGAAACGTTTCAGCACAAAAAAAGAAACTGTCCAGATGACCTGACTGAAAAATGTTGGATTTTATACCTGGATTATTGAGCATGGACTTTGTTGTTTTCAACCAGTTTGACAAGACTGTCAACGAGGAAGAGGGCCGGCAATGGAGGAGGGGGCGTGCCAAAGAGTCCATCTTATCACAAGCAGAACTGGTTTGTTCCACTTTGGAGTAAGCTGTTGGGGGAAGAATCAGTTTTGTTGTGTGTTTCCTTGACTGATGAAACCTTCTGGATCGAAGGCGAAACGTTTCAGCACAAAAAAAGGAAACTGTCCAGATGACCTGACTGAAAAATGTTGGCATGTTTACAATGTTTTTGACTGAACTGAAGAGAGTTCTGAGTTTACTGTGATGGACTTGGACCAGCTACCTGCCTCCTCCCAAAACCAAAAGTCCATGAAACTAGCCTTTCTTAAAGGAATGCATATTTTCTTCTGCCTTGCATGTCAAAAGTTTTAAATAAAATATTTTGTGTGAGCTGTCAGTGCTTGACTACATGCTGGGCTTTCAGCTACTAGACCACCAAAGTTTAGTTCACTATCTCTAAAAGTGACTTTTAGCCATTTTTGTGTTTTGTAAGCGCGATTAGCTGTGGCAGCCATCTTAGCTTGCGCTGACTTCAAACGATAAGTTTTAAAGATCTTCTCCAATCTGTTAGCCCCCAGAGTTCCTATGTGATGAGGATGACTCAGTTACTACTACACCCCATTTTAGCTCAGGATCTGTAATGTTTCACTGTGTGTTTGCTAAAGTCAGTTAGCTTCGGTAGCCATCTTGAATATGATTTACTTTAAAAGTTATTGCCAAAGTTTTGAACAAAGATCTTGTATGATGTGTAAGCACTCAGGGGTTGTGAATGACTCCCAGCTACATTAAATTCTACCTCAACGTCTATAAAACCAAGTTCAGTTAATTGTGGAGGACCTGTTGAAACAGGTTGAGTCCAAAAACTACTGAGTTGTAACGGTACATCCAGTAATTACTTACACTGGTTTGTGAGATAGTTTGCAAAATGACAAACACAAAAATAACTTTGTGACGCACTAAATGTTGTTGCTGTAAAATGTAAAGCAAATAGAAGTATAAGTTTACAGATTATAAAATCAAGGACATTGAAATATGATGTTAAAAATGACCAACATTTTGAGTAAGGCTGATTTTAAATCGTCATCACTGACGGTTAAATAAAACCACAGAGCTGGAAGCAAATGTCAGTAGCTGTTTTTAGTAACTGCGCCCTTTCTTTGACTTATGTCACAGCTTGTTATGTGGTTGTTGTCAGCTGAAGGGCTTTTCACTGTGGGTATGCTCCATTTGTACACCTGTGCACATAGCGGCTTTCTGGGCGGCAGTGGATTCTGCACACTATTTAGAAATATTAACAGTACTCCTTTACAACCATATGGCTGTTACCTAACAAGGTGCTTGTGGTGCTTAAATTGGAATGTGGCCTCAAATTAGTAAATAAATTACTGGATTTGTTAAATGTAATAAGGCATTGCTTTACCGGTTAATATTTCAGTGACATGTTTTTATGTCATCAGCTGTTATTGAAATGTCAAACTTTGATCACAATGACAGATTAATGGTGCATTTAAATTGGGAATTTACATGTTTTCAAGTTCTGAGTGCCTTCCTTTCTGACCTGAAGCGACTACCGCAATATCGAACTATCTCGCCTTGCACATGAAAAGTGGTGGTAACTGTAGTAGCAAACTGTTTGTTTGCATTTCTCTGTCGTAATAAATCCATATTATATTCATATTCATTGTTCTGTCTAACCTCAGTCAGTAAAGTGACTACAGATTTAAATGCAAAGGAATACATTATCTGCTTGTGTTGCAAATTATATGGTCACAGATTAAATGGTAAATGGACTGTACTGGGTACTTATATAGTGTTTTTCTATTGTATCAAAATACTCAAAGCTCTTTACAATCTGTGCCCTCATTTCCCCATTCATACAGCACTCTGCTAGATCTATACAAAGAATAATCAACAGAGATTGGTTGGTTGGTTCTCTAACTCTCTCTCAGACTGGAGGCAATGTGTTCAACATAATGGTACTTCCTCCAGTTATTTAACAGTCAACAATGGTGTACCACAAGGCTCAGTCTTAGGACCCACTCTCTTTACAATATACATACATAATGTAGGTAAATACATCCCTAATGCATCCATACATTTCTATGCTGACGACACAGTTGTTTATTGTCGAGCTAAAACTGTTGATAAGGCTTTCCAGGTTTTGAAATCTGCATTTAACATCATCCAGACAGATTTGTTCCGCCTCAGACTTGTCCTAAATGCCGACAAAACCAAAGGGATGCTTTTTTCAAATAGGAAGTTGGTCCCAGCAGTTCTTCCTTCGATTTTATCCTCAAATGGTGTCCCCATTGAGTTTGTTGATTCCTATAAATATTAGGGTATCTTGGCCGACTTGCATCTCTCTTTTAAGCTTCATGTGGAAAACTTGGTAAAGAAACTGAAAGTTAAACTGGGTTTCTTTTTCAGAAGCAGATCCTGTCTAACCCTGAACGCTAGGAAACGCCTTGTATCTGTGACTTTCCTTCCCTCAATTGATTACGGTGACATTATTTACATGAACGCTCCTACAAGAACCCTGCAGATGTTGGATGTTGTCTATCATGATGCACTAAGATTCATAACTGGCTGTGATTATCGTACCCACCACTGCACCCTGTACTCACTGGTTAACTGGACATCATTAACTTCATGCAGACTCTCTCACTGGTACATTTTCATCTTTAAATCACTTCTTGGTCTGCTGCCTTCATACATCTTCTCCTACATGTCTCTGTGTGAGTGCAGCTACGGCGTGCGCTCTCAGGACATTATTACCTGCAGTGTTCCCTCAGTGCGGACTGAACTAGGCAAGAGGGCCTTCTCCTACTCCGCTCCTGTTTCCTGGAATATCTTACAAAAACATTTGCAGCTCTCGACCTTGACCTCTCTAAGTGTCTTTAAGAATCTGTTGGACTCCTGGCAGGGACCAATGCAGACATGTTCCTGTTTTTAGTTTTCTACATTCACCTTATAATCTGGCCGGGTTTTTTTTTTGTTACTTTTTTTTAGCCATCCTATTTGTTAAAAAAAAAAACCTGCAGTATGACTTTTTATAATTGTTTATTGTTGTCGTTGTTGTCCATTGTTGTCATCATTCTTTGTTAAAATCAGGTCTCTCTTGTAAATGAGTCCTCGAGGCTCAATGGGATTTACCTGTCTAAATAAAGGTTGAATTGAATTGAAATCAGTGCTTTATCACATTCATACAATGATGGGACACACAGAGGCAATGAGGGGTTCAGTGCCCAGGGACACTTCAGCATGTGACTGCTGGTGGAATCGAACCCCCATAGTAAAACTGTGTCTGAGGCAAGAGGGTCTGCTCCTCAGCTTGTGAGGTCTTTAAGATTATTCTGCCTAAAAATAACATTAAAGCTCATAAAATACATTTAATGACACAAGGATATGGACAAATAACACATGATACATGTAAATATTATTTAATTAAAGACACGTTTTTTGTATCAAAAGCATTTTTTTATTGTACATTCACATTTTCTATAATGCTGACAGTGTTAGGCTATTATATATGTCTTTAAGAGCAGAGCAGATGGCAATCACATCTGGGCACGGATCCAGACAAGGTCCAAGTTTACAGTTTGAAGCTGCTTTGCATAAAGATTTCCGTTGACTTTGAATGCATCTCTAAAATTAAAAATTAGGAAGGTCGTGAGGACGTACCACCTCAGACCCGTTTGTCTTGTTCTAATGCAGTGGTTGCAGCTCCGGTCCTCGAGGAGCACCATCCTGCAGGTTTTAGTTGTTTCCATGCATTGACACCTGTTTTGAATGAACGGGTGATCGGCAGGACTCAGGTGTGTTGGAGCAGCAAAACAACTAAAACATGCAGGATGGTGTTCCTCAGGGACCAGGGTTTGGAACCATTGCTCTAATGCTCTGAGATCTTTGTAACTGCTGACTTGATTGTTTCAATAATACTGGCTTTTACTGTTTGTCTTTGCAAAACGAGGCGTCGCAGACTTTGATTTTTTTTTTCCTTCAATTTACCAACAGGAGGTAGTAAAAATAGTTTGTAACAGGGCTGCAGACACACAAACCTATTAGGCTACATAACAAAACATTCAACACATGAGCACACAAACTGTCGGCTCATGTTTTTACACGCTGTCCACTAAACAAGAGACATTTTTCACTCCATATCTGTGTTTAGAAAGTCCTATGCAAATATGTGTGTTCCAGTGAACAGCACTCACACAATTTATCACCTGTACCATCGCAGCATTTGAAAACATCAAATGAGTTGCACGAAGAAAGTGAGGCGATCATTTGCAAACAGATTTCCATAATGGTTAGCATATTTACGCAGATAAGGCAGGTGTCTGCTAGGCCTTCAGTCACGAAAGGCAACATAATAGGAGCTTCTGTTGGAGGCTGAAAGCACGTGAGAGGACGGCGTGTTTACCTCTCCTTGACATGCAAAACAAGTGGGGGCAAGTAACGAATAGTTTTAGCAAGCAGCCTGGAGGCACTTGGCGGCGACGCACACCAGCTCCTGAGTTTCAGGGATCACGTTTCCAGCTGAACAAGAGTCTGGTATGTGAAATGCGAGAGGAAAGCTTCCCGGTTCTCCATGGTGACTGCTTACAGGAGCTCCTGCTCCTGTTCGCTTCTTGGCAACGCGAGCCGGCTCTGCCCCCGATCTGATGTCATTTCTGTTGATGATGGGCCACGTTTTGCCTCATATTCCCGCGTCTGAGGTAGGACCATTCGCAGCCTTCGAGCTAGCTGACGTGCTAGCCACATCGACATCACTTTAGAGAGGAGTCTATGTCCGCAGCTCCTGCTAAACTCACTGCTTTTCATGCCTCTCACCTCTGCCAGCTCCTGTAATAAACCACTGAAATCTTGGGGTAAACAGTAGCGAGGGACCCCTCTGAAGGCCTTCGGGATGTCCCTGCTGTGGCAAAGACCCTGGAAGTAGACGATGGCAACATCTTTACCTTTGCCCTCCTGCAGCGCTCCTTCTAGAGAGGCCAGAGCAGCCATGAACACAGGCTCCATCACTGTAGATGGCTCCTTCTGTGAGCACCAGTCTTTATCCTCAAACAATGTGACGCAACATTTTCTTCCTGATGATTTCTCTTTTCTCCATTTTCCTTTCAGTTTTAAATTCTCTTGTGTTGCTTCTCTAATCCTCTCATGGTTCAAGTTTGCTTCATTCTTATCCATGCTTCCTCGTTTCATCTTCCACCTCTCGTAGCTCCTCCTGGCCTCGGGACTCCAAAAGATCAGAACTTTCCCCTGCGCCTTGCAGACAGCGTCCCACTGCCCGTACAGCCAGGGAATTGGACCCAGATCTGCCACACTGGCCCCAGTCCCAGTCTGCCTTTGGGAGTTTTGCTGCCACAGAGCTGCATGCACCGTGGCACCCAGCTCTCCCTGAAGTATTGAGGCCAAAGCACAAACAGCGGAGATATGGATGGATTGATCGGAGGAGCACACCAGCAACACTGGCCTTTGAATCATCAGCAGACCTGTGGACGTAGGAATAAATCAGATGATGAGGGCATGCATGCACTCAAAGACACAAATATTGTTCAAAACTAGAGAAATTTCATTTCCTGCAAAAATGCAGTGTGAACGCTAATCGCAGAACTTGTTGAGAAACAGTTGGAATTAGCTAAAAAAAGCATGCTGAAATGTAGTTGAAATAGATGAACAAGCCTAAATCAGCAGAAGAAAGCAGAAAGAACATATTTAATGAAATTAGTTTAAATATTCAGAAATAAGCAGAAAAATTAGGAAAGTAGCTTAAAAAAGCTGAAATTAGGGAAAAATGGCTGAAAAGGTAGCTGAAAGACAGAAAGAAGATTAAACTAACAGAAGGAAGCGGAAAGAGCTGAAATGAGCTTAAAAAGGTGGAATTAGCTGAAAAAGCTAAAATTTGCATAATAACAGGTAAATAATAGCTGAAATAACTTAAACTAGCATGACTAAACTGAAAGGAGCATAACAAGCTGAAATTAGCATAAAGAGGTTAATTAGGCTGAAGTAGCAGTAATGATCACAAAAAATCTGAATTTATCTGAAAACAGCTGAAATGAGCTAAAAATGCTAAATAGGTAGGTGAAAAGGTAGAACAAGCTTAAATTAGCAGAAGAAAGCAGAAAGAACACATGTTTGCCCAATTTGGCTGAAAGAAGCAGAAATGAGCACAAAGAATTATTATCTGAAAAAAGCTGAAATTAGGGAGGAAAAAAAAACCAGCTGAAAAGTAGCTTAAAAGCAGAAGGAAGCTTAAATTACCAGAAGGAAGTGGACAGAGCACAATTTTGCTGTATCAGGCTGAAAAAAAGTTTAAATGAGTGCAAAAAATGTGGAATTAGCCAAAAAAGATAAAATTAGCAGAAAAACAGCTACATCAGGGGTGTCAAACTCACTTACAAAAGGGAGCCAAAATTAAACCATTTCTCAAACTAAAGGCTGGTTTCAGATTCTACATTAACTCAAGTTAGATACCCAACATCTTTTCTTGGTTGTAGGTTCCTCAACAAAAGTTTGATTGGTCTCATTTGACATTTTCTGTTGCATTTTTACATCATAATCTAAGATTACTGAAAAAATACAAGTGATAAAAAGTATTTTACATTTAAAATATCATCTTGGGGGCCAGATAAGATGTCAACGAGGGCCACATTTGGCCCCTGGGTCTTGAGTTTGACACATATGAGCTACATAGTAGCTGAAACATGCAGAAAAAGCTTGCACTTGCATAAATAAGCTGAAATTTGCAAAAAATTGTTAGAACAAGCAGAAAAAAATATTGCAGTTAGCTGAAAGAATCTAAAAGGAGCACAAAACAGTTGAAAAAACAGATGAAAGTAGCTGAAAAAAGTTTAAATTTGCACAAAGAGGCTGAAAGAATCTGAAGCAGAACAAAATGTGAAAGGAGCAGTAAAAGGTTATAAACAGATCTAAAGATATGAAGGATGTAAAATGAGCTAAATTCATTGACTGTGAGAAAAGTGGCAGAAAAGACTAAATATTTCAAAAAGCTAAAGTTGCACCAATAACAAAACTCACAGCACCCTTGTGAAAGAGCTGAACATTTTGATATACGAGTTGTTGAAATGGCACAAAAATACTGGAACGAGAAAGACGCCGAAAAACGTACGGAGGAAAAATGGATCTCGATAATGTGAATGCTTCATCAACATTCACACAATAAATGAACCAGCGAGTCAAATGTTTTTTTGATAAGGAGATCAGAACTCACCTCCAGTTCCACTCCTGGTGGTCCGGTGGAGGAAAAGTCCAAATAAAGCAGCTAAGACTGCACATATCAAAACTGCTGCTGCATAAAGGCCCCACCTGTTGTGTGTGTCTGGAGAAAACAAACAGCAAGTTCATGTACTTTGAGGAAACTGCACATGCACTCTGCTGTAAACTGGCAAAAGCAAATGGGTTGATGCACTTATTAAAGCTAACTGTGCAAACTTTATTAATGTCTTACAGTCCAAGCACATAATTCTTCTTCCATTAAGAGCAGGATCTGACTGCCACACCTGCAGAAACAGCAATTGAAATTTGTAAAAACATGACACGCAGAACCACCAAAACATTGTCAGTCATGCGAAACCTGCCGTGTTTTCTGTACCTGCACACAAAGCTGCTCTGTTACGCCTCGAACAGGCACACTTATCCGTTTATCGGCTGCCGTTTCTGTCTGTGGAAAAGGTCAGAAAGGTCACAAGCAATCTTTATTGCAATTTTAAATAATCCTGAAATAAAAATAAAGAGTTTTAGAATTAATTATAAAGAAGTAACAAGTATATATATCAAAACAACAGAATACATTTGAGTGAACCAACTGGCATAAGCTCAACACAAATATTTGCACCGTCCTCTAATATTTGTTTAAAGAAGACACTCTGGCTTCATGGCAGACTCTGAATGTTTACTCAAGCTACCTCAAGGTGTTGTACACCCACACTCCCAGCTCCGTTTTATAATCATAAAAAGTTCCATCTTTCAAAAACAAGTCAATAAAACTTAAATAAGGACTCCTAGCTTAAAGCCAATTACGATTTTCCATTTGATTTGATTTTTTATTAATAATTTCAGGTTGTTTAAAATTGCAGGTGACAGGCCAGACCAAGAGTGTTTTATGTTACGAGTATGACAGAGAGCAGCAAGGAGTGAGCCGGGGGGGGGGGGTGTCTTAGAGAGTGGTTGGCGACCTGGTCTGGACCCATGGGTCAAGTCCAAATGAGCTACATGTGATTCCAGCTTTCCTGTGGGTCCACCATCTGCCACGAGGATCCCTGCAGGTCAGGTGCTTGATGTCACAGGCAGCAGCCGAAGGTGCTGACTGTGACTTACCAAAGCTGTCTCTTGGGACATGGACCGTCACCTCTGGTGGAGAAGAAGCCTGAGCTTGTTCATGAGGTTGAGAGGTACAGGGACTAGATGTGAGGCTCACCTCAACACATGACATGGGTACTGGAACCAGTCTACTCAAGAGGGGCTGGGCTTTATTCAACTCTGGAGTTGCAGGAGGAACTGGGCTGGTGTGGACCTACATGGAGTTTTCCCTGGTAGATGAGATGGTAGACTGCCTGCACTTGGTGGGGGCGGGGGGTGGCCGGGGGGCTTTGACTGTTGTGTTTGTGCCTATGAACCAGTCAGCAGTTCAGAGTACTCAGACTTCCTCCAGTCTTTAGCGTGTGTGTGTGTGGGGGGGTGTGCTGGATAAATGCTTTTAGATGTGCTTGTTATTTTTAATATCCTCCTGACACTCCAAGGAGCTTAGCCCCAACTTTAGTTTCTGCAAAACGACTTTGCTCTGGACAGTCTTCTGGTTTCATAGTCTATATAATGTCCTCGTTATATAAACTACCAGAGGCAGGAAAGAAGCCCACAGCATGAGATAACCTCCACTGTGTTCTACAATAGTTATTTTGACAATAGGCTTAATTGAGCTATCCATGAACTAACTGACCTGCATCAGGTCTTTCATTGAGGTTTTCGTTCATTCAAGGTTGTTTATTGTCATTTGCATTCACATGTGGTACATGAGGTGGAACAAAATTGTGTTGTCCTGACGTGTTGTCCTTCTTGATCAACATCCAAGTGGATTGTTCTGGTATTTATTTATTTATTTTTATTCATTAACTTTTTATTTTATTTTATCATAAACTGTTAAACAATGTACATTTTCCATGTTTAAAATTTCACCAATTCAACAAAGTTCATGCTGAATAATCCAGGTTTAAAAAAATCCAACAAAGTCAGGTCATCTGGGTGGTTTATTTATTTGTTGAAATGTTTCGTTATTCATCCAAAGGACTTCATCAGATTGAGGAGACACAACAAACTCTGTCTCACAAACAGCACACTCACATAGTGGGCCAACCAGTTTGATGGTGATAAGGAGGATACCTGGATTATTGCGCATGAACTTTGATGTTTTGAACCATTTTGGCCAAGTAGTTTACTTATCCCCACATGTATGTTGTTGTTTTGTTTTTTTTAGTATATTGTGTTTCTATACAAACCATTATTAGTGAGTGAACTGCTCCTGCAGGTGTACACCCCCCCTCTGTAAGGACACAAAGCTGGGCTGAGAACTTTGCTGGCACACTGGAGGTAAGAAGCACCGAAATGCTCCGTCTGCCTGCTTCAACTGAAGTTTCCCAAGATGTCATTTCTGTAAGAGACAAAACAGAAGAAAAGGTCAAACAATGAAAACATTCATATTTTCTGTCAGTACAACGAAGCTGACTCACCGTTTTGGAAAAGGCAAGAGATTCTGGAGCTGCCTTGTATAGAAAACTGTAAGGCAATAAGTAAATAATTAAAATAATAAAGGACAAATTGATTCGTTTCTGTGCTCACATGACTGAGTCTCACCTGCACACACATCTTAGGATGTCTGTCCACATGAATCGTGTTAAAATCCTGCTCAACAGAAAAGCTCATTAAATAAAAACAATTCAGATAACTATTAATAACATGTAGCACCGCTGCTGATTGGACCGCACATTTCCATCCATCTTCTCCAGGGTGGAGTTGAGCAACGGGATGCAGAGATGTTCGTGTTGCTCCCAGCACAGGGACGCAGAGACGTTCAGCCCACTGGAGGGACACCTGTAGCTCCAGTTCATGTACGAGTTGTGTAGCTTCACTTCAGATGTGCTCAGAACATCTCCGGCATCTGATTTATTACAAATACACGTGTTAAAGCGATAAAAATGAAGCACTGTTAAACAGTTAAAGTATTAATAAATAAAAAAAATCTATAAATACATAAAAAGTTATTGCTTATAATGTAAAATATGTTCATTTTTGCTAAATGCAGGAAATAAGTTGCTTGTATTTAGTTGTTGTCTGATTCTGCTCAAGTTGCAAAGAATGAGGCATGGAACATCACGTTTAGTATTATCTTGATAAAAATATGTGACGCGCCACGGGAAAAGCAGGAACAAGTCGCGCACGCTCAAACTGAAAAAAAGCAATAAAACATTAAATTTCTGAGAAACTAGTAAAAATCGATTTTTTTTTTTTTTTTGCAAAATATACTATTTGAAGTTATGAAGAAACCATCCCATACTTTAAAAATACAGTTTTTGAAGTTTTTAAACTGGTAAATTTTGTTTGAATTCAGCTTGTTTTCAGAGTAAAAAGGAGCTGGCCGGGATTTGCGTATGGGGGTGAGGAAACTCACAGCGGATTAACATGCGGACTTTGTTTGGCTGGTTTCTGAGGTTTTCACACTGTTTGTTACTGGTTTCAGCCAATAATATGCAGATTTGAAAGAAACACATGTGTACTTAAACAGGTAGGCTTCTCGTGCTGTTGGATTTCTGTTTTTGAAAGAAGATGGACTTTCACAGCAAAGATGTCGCCCCATCAAAGATGGAAACCAGCCCACGTCTTGCACAGAGATGCTCCTTCATGAAGAATATGGTGAAACTAGATGTTTTTTTTTCTCCTCGTCTCTTGAAATTTGTTGTCCATTTTTCTTGCAAATATTTTGAATGTGTTTATATTTATTTTGCAAAATAAATAAAAAGACTGAGCACACCTAAACCACATTTTCAAGGTTCTTTATTGTCTTTCGCATCATATGTGGTACATGAGGTGGAACAAAATTGTGTACTCAAGGTCCCAATAACAGTTATACCCCAAAGTAGCAAAAATATAAAGTATAAAAAAAGGATCTAAGATAAATGCTAAACACTAATGGGGGAGTGGTGGTGCAGAGGCTAAAGAAGGTAAGCTTGTGATTGGAAAGTCGCAGGTTCAACTCCCCAGACTGACATCAAAATGTGGGTGGAAAAGGTGAAACACCCACACCTGCCTCCACCCTCATTTACCCCACTCTGGGCCCTTGAGCAAAGCCCTTAACCCCCACCATCTGCTCCCAAACAGGTCTCTCTTAAAAAAGAGTTCTCGTGACTGAGCGAACCATCGCTTTTTCAGCTAATTCCACATTTTTGTCTCTCATTTCAACTTTTTTCAGCCTAATTCATCAAAAATGTGCTCTCTCCACTTCCTTCTAGTAATTTAAGCTTTGTTCTGATTTTGTTGCTGCTTTTCAGCTGTTTCTTCCTGATTCAGCTGTTTGCAGATACTTTCCGCTTCTTTTAGACCAGTTGGGCAAACGTGTTATTTCTGTTTTCTTCTACTAATTTAAGCTTGTTTTACCTTTTCAGCTACCTTTTAGCATTTTTAGCTAATTTCATCTGTTTTCAGATAAATTCAAGGTTTTCATAGTAATTTGATACTTTTAACCTAATTAACTTCTTTATGGTAATTTCAGCTTGTTATGCTCCTTTCAGTTTTTTTTCTGCTAGTTTCAGCTTTTTCTGTTATTTCAGCTACTACTTAGCTGTTTTATGCAAATTTGAGTCTTTTCAGCTAATTCCACATTTTCATAGCACATTTCAGTTTTTTTCGCTTTTTCGGGTAGTTTAAGCTTCTTTCTGCCTTTTCAGATATTTTCAGCTATTTTAGTTTACTAATTTCAGCCTTTTTTTTTTTAGCTAATTTCCTAATTTTTGTGCTCATTTCTGCTAATTTATGCCTAATTCAGCAAAAATGTGTTTCTGCTTTCTTCTGTAAATTAAGGCTTGTTCTTTTCAGTAGTACATTTCAGCTACATTTCAGCATGTTTTTAGCTCATTTCAGCAAATTAGTCAGCAATAAGCATTCACACTGCATTTTGGCAGGAAATGCAATTTCTCCATTTGTTTTTACTAACTACAGCAAAACTGGTCATGACAACATGTAAGTTTATTTCTTACTGTTTGTGCATTAAAAAGAGTCAATCTAACATTACTTGGCTGAGCTAGAAAACAAACAAACAAACATGGTTGACAACACTGCAGGAACGTACTGCTTCTTGCCATAAAAATGTACAAGTGACCACAAATTAAAAACTGTATCTTTTTACATTTATTTTTTGTTCCCAACAAATTGATAATTTATAGTATGTTTCATGTTAAAGCAGAACTGCTACTAATATTAAAGGCTTAAAGCAATAGTCCAGTTTATTTTAAGATGGGGTTTTGTGGAAACAGTAAATATCTTACCTGTTGTAAATAACACTTGTTTTAACAGACTCAGACTGGAGAAACATTTATTCTGACCAGGCTGAAAAGCTAACTATTAGCTTGTACAGGGCTAAGACTAAATTGTTATTTTCGTCTAACAACTCCACCCTCATCTATCTAATACAGGTGACATATTGATTGTTATAACCTTTTCACAGAATTCCTTCAAAAAATGCTGCTTAATGTAAAATTGTATTTTGTCTACTAAACATTAACTGCATTTGCCTCCTTTAGAACCAAAGCTGAGTTAAAGTGACAGTCTTACTCATTTGAGCACAAACAGACTCGTACGTCTTATTATCTCTCAGGACACGTTCGAGACTATAAATAATCCGTCTGATAACAAAGTGTGTGGTTTAAAGGTTTAAACCTTATCTTTAATAACCATGACTATACTAGTCTAAAAATAGATCACCCTCCTGCATTTTGTTCGGTCTGCCCTGTTGACACCATCAATATGAACCAAGGCAGTATAAGTTAAAATAAGTTGACTGCTTTGATTATGATTCAGTCAAAAGTCTTAGAGAGAATCTGAGAACTGGCAGATTTGCTAAAAATGATTCCCTTCTCGTGCACAGCACTCTGATTTTTTAGATCCAAGCAGAACTAAAAGATGGTATCAGCTGTTTTATGATGTCTCTGCAGCACTTGGCTGTGTTCTGCATGACTTTTGGACCAGATGAGTTACTGTCAGGGTTTGCTAATGAAACAGGACAATAATGTTTTTGTGCCAGTGGAGGGCAGCAATGGTGCAAGCATGAACTGTTCACCGTGAAGGACGCAAAACAGATTTAAAGTAAGCTATACTTCAAGATGCTTCCATTGAGTATATTACTCAAAAAACAAAGTTTTCAAGTATATAAATGATGTGTGGTAAATTATAAGGTCTATAAAACATGTTTTTGTGTTAAATAACGTGTTTTGTCACTCTACATTGCTTCTCAGCTTGCACCACCGTTATGACCAACAACATATTTATGAGCCATATGGGACCATGTCTTTAACTGGGTGTGGAAGATGTACAGTTATCAGGTGGAAGCACAGGATTGTTCTGCCTGCTGCACCAAGAACTCTGGGACACCAAACTATGTTCTCCTCCACCCATCAGATGTCTGTAACCTCGGCAGTCGGTACATTTCATTTCATTATTTGCTCACCTAATCATTGCAAACATGAAGTGACTGTAGTACTACAACAGTAGTACTACTACTTTCTCTTGTAACACTTCAAAGTATTTTCATGACAGTAACAGCATGCTTATTTATGTAGCCATTTTGTGACTGACTTTAAGACCCTATAAAATTAGAAAGCAGCAATTATTGTAAAATTTGACCTTATCTAACATTCTTGGAATAATGGGTGATAAAAGAAGACTTATTCAGATCCTGTTTATTAGCTTTTTTTAACAAGGCAAATCCCACTGAGAGGCTGTATCTTGAATGATGCAGTATCTATGTATCTACCTCACAACCATAATTCAATCTCAATGTCACTACCTGCGCAATAACCTGTCACACAACCTATGTAGTATATGGTAGTTATGTGTGTATATATATATATATATATATATATATGTATATATATTTTTTTTTTTTTTCAAATTCATCCTACTTGCACCGTTATATTCTACCATGTTGTTGTTTACTCTCTCTCTTTAGGACGTTGTAAATATAATTACTTTTTTTCACTTTTTGGTACTTTGTTTTTGTACACTTATTGCATGCTTTAATATTTCTTGTTTGTTTGTTCTTTGATTTTTTTAGCGAGTCAACTCGGTTCTTCTCGTCCTGAACGTTTCATTGTACTGTTAACCCTGTGTTAACCTGCATATGACACATGAACACAACTTGAACGTGATCACAGATCACCTAACATGCGTCTTGATGTTACCAACATTTGACGTGTGGAGCAGAACTAATACCGTCCGTGTTTTTGGACTCTGGGAGGAAACCGGAGTACTCGGAGAAAGCCCAGGCAAACACGAGGAGAGCATGCAAACTCCACACTGAAAGACCGCAGGTCCAATCCCAGAAACTTCGTGCTGTAAAGTAACAGTGCTGACCACTGATCTACCGTGCTGTTGATGCAACGTGCTGTGAAAGGCTGATTCTCTTATTTGATCTCATTTTGCTAGAAAGCTTGAGAAATACCTAAATGGGTCAGATTTTGGATTTGTTTTACAAAGCAGGGCAGTTTCCTGTAATACGTGGAAAGTGGAACACCCTTCATCACGTCGTGCTTCACCACAGACTCGTACATTTAAATTATCGAGTTCCCTTTGAAAACAGAGGAAGGCTTCTGTTTTTCTGCACTTCAGGCTTAAAATACAAGTTTGAGTTGTTTCTACTGACATTAATCCTCTGCCACACTCACCGAAGACGGGTTCGTCTTTAAACGGGCACTTTTTGTGCCTGGTTGCATCTCTGTACGTGTAATACACCTGTTAGTGAAAACACACAAACTATAAGCATTAAAAACAGGCATCAAAACTATTTATAAAATAAAAAAAATCACTTTTTCCAGAATCTACTAAGAGCTCACCTCTACACAGGTGCAAGGAAGCATGTGAGAGATGTTCAGAACAGCTGACTTGAACTGTAATTTAACAAACAACAAGGTTACAAAAGATGAATCATTGCAACTTGAATTCACACAAATGTGCAAAATAATAAGATTTAAATGCTTACTACTGATAATGGGCGTGACCCCTGACAGAGTGCAAGATTTTGTTCGTAACAGATTCGGACGTTGACTTCTTGATCAGCGTCAACAGAGACGGCGACCGTTTTAGACCACCTGTCCACTGAAAGGCTGAACTCTGGTCGAGGGTCTGAAGTCACAACAAACAAAAATAAGCAGAATATGAGCTTTACTAGTGACAGATGTGATAAAAAACACAATTTAGTTTATTGTTTCCATCAAGGGTGCCCAACACATTGTCCCAGTCCTCAGGTAAACCGATCTGGGTCCAAATCACAAGATTGCGAGCAACTCCCACTCCTCACTTCCACAAAGACCAGTTCATCAAGCAGAATGACGCACGTCACCAGTTTTATAGACTTCAGGAAAGAGTCATGACAAACAGTCTCTCTAAAATTAACTCATCTACAAAAGAATAATGAAACAAAACACAATTTCCTAACTGAACTCCTGACCAAGATACAGGATGAAACTGGTGTTCAAACAAAAAGGGCCCTTTTTCTCCCTTCCTCCTGCAATTAGTGCTCACCATTTACAAAAGGTGGCTACATAGGTGCAGATACACAAATCTATTTACAAATCTCAAACAATGACACAATCTTTTCAAATACCAAACAGATCAGAACGTCTAAACTTGAACCAGTTGGCTCTCTGTGGAGACCGCAGGGTGGGGTGTCATCTGCAGGTGTTATCAAAGGTCCAGGTCCTCACTGGTTCAGACTGCAGGCTCAAACAAGACACAGTCCTACCTCATCCAACACCTAAACACACGCTTGTATTTCTATCCTTCTTAGGACATGCATTTGTGTGTCGTATTGCACATCTGATCTCACTTTTATTTTTATGATAACAGAAAAATGCATCTGCAGCCTCAGTGAAAACATTTTTCATAACCTCGCCGTCGCTGAGAGACGTTTAGACGTTTACAGCTGCAGAAAGAAAGGCTCTGCAGAGACTGGTGACGGCTGCACAGAAGCCTGTTGGAGTCAGACTCTAAACCATAACAGACATCTACACCTCCAGATGCAGGAAGAAGGCCACCTGCATCATGAAGGACCCCACTCACCCAGCACACACACTTTTTGCCCCGCTCCCCTCAGGAAGGAGGTGTCATGCTGCGGTGTGAGGTTGAACCAGAGTGCAGGCAAGACACAGGAAACTCAAGAGGATAAAATAACAAAAACTATTTATTTACAAAGAAACACCAAATACCACGAGGAGAGCTCACAATAGGAGCAGAGGCAGACAGTGACACCATAGGGAGGATAACCCTCGGACAGGGAGACAAAGACAAGACGTAGGATTCATAGGGACACTGAGGGGTAAACAGGAAGTGACAGGTGGACGGTGTTAGTTAATTATCAGAGGGAACGTGTGACAGAGCAGCCACAAGGAGGAGATGACACACAGGGCAATAATCCTCACAGAAGGTTTATTTCAACCAGGCAAATCCCATTGAGATCACAGATCTCTTTTGCAAGGGAGGCCTGGGCCTGAAGACACACCAACATGCATGTTTTTGGTCTGTGGGAGGAAACTGGAGTACCCGGAGAAAACCCACACAAGCACGAGAAGAAGAAGCAAACTCCACCCAGAAAGACCCCCGGTCCAACCGGGGATTGACCTTCTTGTTGTGAGGCAACAGTGCTAACCACTGAGCCATCGTGCTGCTGAGGTTGAGGAGCATTAAGTGTAGAACCACTGAGGAACAGCTTCTACCCTCAAGCTGTTAGGCTCTTAAATACCTAACCAGGATCATCATTGTGATGCCACTTTAGTTGGTGACGTTTGACATCTGTGCTGCTGATTATCTCATGCTGCTGATTATCTCATGCTGCTGATTATCTCATGCTGCTGATTATCTCATGCTGCTGTATTCATTCATACCCATCTGTTCACCACAGACTCATGTTAGGACTGCTGTTGTTATGTCATATTATTTTACATTATTATGCTTAGCGTATATCTTAGATCTTTCAGTGTACTGTTTGACGTTCATCTAGTGTATATCTTAGTTTATATCTTAAATCCTTATTTACTGTTTCTTTTTAAACTTTGTACTTTTGCTAGTTTTGGGTGTAACTGGGACCTTGAGTACATTATTTCGTTCAACCTCACCTCGTGTACCACAAGTGATGTGAATGACATTAAACTTGACCTGAAGGTTCATGTTCAGTCATCCAGGTAAAAAAAATCCAACAATGTTTCGTCAGATCATCTGGACAGTTTCTTTTTTGTTGTTGTTGTTGACATGTTTTGCCCTCCATCCAAAGGGCTTCATCAGTCTGAGAAGTCACAAACAGTTTTCCCCACTAAGCAGTACACTCCTATAGTGGACCAGCCAGTTTGCTGGTGATGAGATGGTTTCTGGGGGCTGTCCTCATGAAGCCCTTCGGATGGAGGGCGAAACGTCTCAACAACAACAAAAATAAATAAATAAACTGTCCAGATGACCTGACTGATCATTGTTGGGTTTAGTGTTTGGTGATAACGCGGCTGACCCGGTCGGTGTTGGGTCGGGTGAAGATCATCTGCCAACTGGACTTTCAGGGCTTGTAAAGCGGCTTTAGCAGGGACATGTCTCACAGTGCACCGTCTTGGGATTCTGTTCCGAGTTATTCTTTTTGGACACGGGCGCTCTTTCTTACCAAATACAACAATCGGACTTCACATTTGAGAAAACAATAAAAAAACAGTCCTCACACTCCGGGGTGAAACTTAATGTTTCTGTTTGCTTGTTGTGCGTCAGTCATTTCTGAGCAATGAGAACACAACTGTCACTCATCATCACCCCGCCCATATGGAGGCCTGCACAGGTCAGGTAACTTCTGTTGCTAGGCAACTGCAGCAAAAACTTTATTTTCCTTCCTTTGTTGTTGTTGTTGTTGTTTTTCTGGACGGTTCAAGTGCATCCAGCAGGTTGAGGGAGTGCAGGCATAAACATAACCCTAAACATTGATGGATTTAAAAATAAAGAGCTGTTTTCTCCAAATCTCATAATCAACCAGAAACCATTCCACAGTCTACTGGTCGATTATGATCGATGTAACGGGCACCCCTGATTCTGATACCTACATCTTCTAAAACAAATTACTTGTAGTGACAATTCATGTGGAATATGTAAACTGCATTTGCTGCATCCAAACTGGATTAAAAATGATTCAAAATTTATGACAAAGTCGTTTTCTACCTTCAGATTTTTGTACGTTTTATTCCATTAAAGGATCCAAACAAGACACTTAACTTTTACTTTTATATGTTTTAATTCCCCATCTTTAACTAGATTATGACACCTGATTCTTACATCACGTCTGTGCCAGGCAGGAGCGCTCACAAAGTCAGATTAGGTCAAAGAGCAAAGAATTAAAATACTTCACCTGCTACTTTATAAAACTTGGTGCAGTTTGTGTTGTATGACACAGAAAAACTCTTTCTGGCTTCAGCCTTGAAACAATCATAGTCCACCTTTCACAGCAGAATAAAAACACAGATTACTGTCATATGAAATTATCCTGCGGGGCTTTATGATTCATAAAAAAAATTATCATCTTACTCGTGCATATGGATGTTTGGAAAGCCCGTTACATGTGACTTTTTCTGCATTGTAGATCTGTAATACGGGAAATTAAAAAAAAATCATGCAAACATTAGCTGCAAACTCATAATGACATTTTAAGCATGCTCAGAACTGGTACCAACAGAACCTGAGGCTGGTTTGAACGTCCCCTCCAAGTAGGTCTGAGGATCATTTCATACTTTGAGCGGAGTCCCACTTCAATCCTCCGGGACCAATTTGGAAGGAAGTCTGGAAGGAAGACATGACACTTTTAAGAGACTTTGTCAGATCCACAGAAACATCAGCTGCTTCATTATGGAGAACAGAACGTGACAAAATTAAATAAATAAACACATAATAATGAAATGTATTGTTTAAATATTAAATACATCATTAAATATACAATTAAAATGATTAAATACACAATTAAATTATTTATTTCATGATTTATTTATTTAATGTTGTCACATTCCACCCTCGTGTGTCACCATGAAATGATGTTAACTGTCAGTCTCACTCGTCAAACTCAGTGGGCGGGACCAGGGCGGGGCTAACGCTGATCATGTGAAATCCATTGCTTTGGTCTGAAGTCAGTTCATACATGGAAGCTCCCTCCATGCAGCTCGTAAAAGTGTGTCTTCTTCTTTACAGTCATGGTATGAAAAAAGGTTTCATCCAAATACACGTAAACACAATAATTTAACCGCTTCTTAAAGTTTTGGATTATATTTTCCTGCCTGTGGATCAACCCATCATTATCAGCGGTTGATTTATCTTCGTTTGCTGTGAAGAGCAGCCAATCAGGTGTCAGGGTTTGTTCATGACCCGCCCTAGTCCCGCCCACTGAGTTTGATGAGCGAGACTGACATTTAACATCATTTCATGGTGTCACTGGAGGACGGAAGGTGACAAAATTAAAGAAATAAGCATGAAATAAATAATTTCAAAGGTACATTTCATTATTTAATGGTGTATTTAATAATTTAATTTTATATTTAATGATCTAATGATGTATGTAATAATTAAATGATACATTTAATTGTTATATTTGTATTATGTATTTATTTATTTCATTTAGTCACATTCCATCCTCCATACTTCATAGATGATGAAGTGTGCGACAACACAACGACATTCAAAGACAGACTTGCATAACGTACCTCTAGTCTTCATCCAAACACTAACCCTGATGCATTCAGTGTACCCTTCCCGGGTGTGTTTAGTTGGGATGGCGGTCAGTTTTATATGACACTGTTCCTCAGGAAGATCTGTCCACACAGAGAAGAACATCAGTGCAGCACAGGGTCGAAACGTGAAGCAGAGCTTTTCATGGGAGAAGAGTTACTGAAATGATCAAACTCACCACTTGGATTCACCATCTAAAACAAGAAGAAAACAGACAACACAGTTTATATACATATTGTAAACAAAGTGTGTTCCAGTAAAGTTATTGAGAGGATCTGTGTGTGTTTGTGTAATTCTTGTGTCTTCTCCTCAGTGTTTCTCCCTCTTGTAATCAGCTCCTGTCTCCCGTCACCTTTTCTCCTTCCCCAGGTGTTTGTCATTGTCTGCTCGTTAGTGTCTGTATAAGTCTGCATCTCTGTGTTCTTCTTTGTCTGGGCATTGTCTTATATGGCGTTATTGTTCTGTCTTCCTCTGTGTCATCCCTGAGATTGTGTAAGTTTGCTGCACGCCAGCTTTTGTTTTTTTTTATTAAAAAATTAGGGATGCACGATATTGGATTTTTGGCCGATATCCAATAAGTCGATATGCCGATATGTTAAAACTTATTTGGTCAATAACAGATACCAATACCAAATATTTTTCCCTAGACCTAATTACAAAGACTACATATTTTTCTCTGTTGTGGAGTTAAAAAACTACATTTCTCTGCATGGTCTTTGTCAATTTGGCCTGCTAACAAATACAGATGACAAAAAGGGGGCTGAAAATGATGCAACACTTCAACTTTAATGTCAAATTTATTCATGACATTTACTCTCTAACACAATGACAACACTCGAACAGTGCAAATGTGTAAATTTGAACAAATCTAAACTCAACGGCGCACGTGACATCATAACATTGTTATGGTGCTGCAGGCATCCTTGTCATACAAAAACAATCTTTACACACACACACACACACACGTGTATATATATGTGTATATATGTGTATATATGTGTATATATATATATATGTGTGTATATATGTGTGTATATGTGTGTGTGTGTGTGTGTGTGTGTGTGTGTATATGGGTGTGTGTGTGTGTGTATATGTGTGTGTGTGTGTGTGTATATGTGTGTGTGTGTGTGTGTATATGTGTGTGTGTGTGTGTGTGTGTGTGTGTGTGTGTGTGTGTATGTATATATGTGTATGTATGTGTATGTGTATGTGTATGTGTATGTATATGTATGTATGTGTATATGTATGTATGTATGTGTATATGTATGTACGTGTATGTATATGTATGTATGTATGTATATGTATGTACGTGTATGTATATGTATGTACGTGTATGTATATGTATGTACGTGTATGTATATGTATGTATATGTATGTATGTATGTATATGTATGTACGTATATGTATGTATGTATGTACATGTATGTATGTACGTGTATGTATGTATGTACGTGTATGTATGTATGTATGTACGTGTATGTATGTATGTACGTGTATGTATATGTGTGCGTGTGTGTGTGTGTCAGCGCCTTTTATATTGGTGAGTTATTTTGATGGAATGGCCTATGTCCAATAGTTAACTTTATCGCTAATTTTGGCCGATACGATACCATGCCGATAATATCGTGCATCCCTATTAAAATGATATTCTACTTTAAATCCTGGATTCTCCTGGGTTCTCTTTGATGGAACATGGGTTCTACCAAACTCCAGAATCATAACAGTTATCACTGCTTAACATGAGAGTTAAGGACGAATTGTGGGGAAAATAATCATCTTTGTTATTTTGATCACTTACAAAGAAATGAGAAGTTTCTACTTCTACAGCATTTTTTGTTTTATTGGAAAGAGAAACAAAAAAAGTAAAAGTCCAGAAAAAAAAATTCAAGTTACAAATTGAGCTTCATATCACTGAGTGAAAAATGTATTTGATCCCCAGATCTTTCTAAGACATTTCCTGGAGTTGTTCACCAGGTTTACACACGCCTCAGGAGGGATTTGGGCCCAGTCCAATTTACAGGAACTCTCTCTATTCTTCTGATCTTGTGACTCACAGTTAAGCTCTCTCCACACATTTTTTTTACAGGATTGAGGTCTGGCTAGACTACGCCATGGCCATTATGAACTTCTTTAGCTTTTGTGGCCTTGGTGATATGTTTAGGGTCATTATTATGCTCGAAGACCCATCCATGACCCATCTTCAGAGTTCAGTCTGAAGAAAAAGGTTCTCGTTCAGGATTTTACAGTACACTGGACCTGTTGGCTGCTCAATGCAATAAAGTTATCTTGCATCTTTTAGCATTTTTTAACTGGCCCAAAGCATGATGTTTACACTTCCAGGCTTGACTGTGGGGATGGTGCTCTTCAGGTCAACTCAGCATTTCCCTCCCTCCAAGCAAGGCTTGATATTCTGTTTCTCTCCATCAAAATGAAACGACCATAACTCCACCTCTCAGGAGGAGTCCTGATGCTGCGCAATAATCCAGCTGGATAAATCTAACACGGTTCAGTCAGGTCCTCTTCAACAAAGAAGAATCCACGCAGAGGACCTAACTCAACCTTGTTAGACCTCTGAAGAGGTTTGTTAATTTTTGTAGTTTAAGTCTCTCTTATGTTATGGTGCTAGAATTTTGAACATGTTGTTAAAAAATTGCAACTAATTTGCACTCGCAGAATATAGTTTTACAAGCTGCGCGTCTGAAAATGGGCTGTACTTTTCACAAACTGGCCACTCAGAAACAAAAAAGTCACTAATGCAACTTTGATTGTTATGTGCTGCTGATTATCCATGCTGCTGATTTATTTCATGCTGCTGTGTTCATTCATGCGAACTCATCCACCCACAAAGACTCATGTTCATGCTGTAGTTCGGTGTATTGTTTTGCACTGTTAGTGTTTAGCGTATATCTTAGTTTATATCTTAGATCCTTATTTACTGTTTCTTTTTATATTTTTGCTATTTTGGGGTATAACCCTGAGGACATGATTTCATTCCACCTCTTGTACCACATGTGATGCGAACGACAATAAAGAACCTTGACCTCAGAACTCGGCCACAAGGCTCGTTGCCGTCTCTCAGAATTCAGTAAAACTGCAGCTGAAACTTCGGCCGTGTTCTCGCAGTTTTTCATACGTTTGAGTTGCAATCTCAAACAAGTGAGGTACTAACCTGCAAACCTACAAAATCAACAGAGGGTAAACATATTTCCCTCTATGGATTTGGATATAAAGAGCTTTAAAATATCTGTCAGATGATGCCAAAATCATGCATCTGGGGTACATTAAAAAAAAAAAAAAACAGAAAACGTACAGCATTTCTAATTTTTAACATTTGGATTGAAAATTATCCTGAATTTTCTTTGAACAATCTGAAAACGTGTCATTCGTCACACAAACTGTCACAATTTCTACATATGTTTATGTCGTGAAATTTTCCGCTAATGTTCTTTGAATGTTCAGAAGCTTCTTCATCTGTTTGGTATTTTAGTTAAATCACTAGTAATAAATATATTACCTTTATTAAATACCTTTATTCACCCCAAAGACTGAGGTTGTTACCACAGAAAATGGTTTTGTTTCAAGGATTCAAGGTTCTTTGTCATACACAGCACATGTGGTACATGTGGTGGAACGAAGTTATGAACACAGGGTCCCAGTTACATCCAACAAAAGTATCAAATGTAAAAGAAAAACAGTAATAAGATCTAAGATATGAACTAAGATAAATGTTAAACTAAAAAAACACACCAAACAATACGCTGAACAGCAGCACGAACATGAGTCTGTGTGAGCAGATGTGTATGAGTGAACACAGCAACATGAAACAGATCAACATCAACATTTTGCTGGATAAAAAAGCATGTGATGATGAATCAAATTGGTTGATTTTTTTTTTTTAATTAAAGTTATTTAGTAGTTTCCTGTATGGCTGAGAATCACACCAACATATGATCCCAGTGGTTATATTGGAATGTATCCATACTTGAGTTTGTTTCTACTTTTAGTACACGACTCCCACTCCAGAATGGCAATTCTGCAGCGGAGTAGATGGAAAGTGTCAAGATAAAAGGTTAACACTGACTGAAACAAGCAAAGCAGTTAATAAGTTAATGGGTTCTGATTGCAACAACTTTAGAATTGATACCCACATGCTAACATCCATGTTTACGTCTGTAAACACAGCTGCTGCGTGTGACGTCACGTCTTCTGCACATGTGGGTCACTTCAGGAAGTTTACACTGAATTCTTGATGACCGTCACATTTAAATTATAATGTGAACTACCACACACACACACAAATCTGATTTGAGCAAAAATGTCTGTAATGAGCATTAAGACCTGCATTGTGGACGTGGTTTATCTGTCTTTTGGTTTGTTGGAAAAGTTTTGTTGCTCCTTCAGGAGTTGTTTTTCATTCAACCTTTGTTTATACAAATTAGTCTCATTGAGCTTCGAGGACTCATTTTCGAGAGACCTGTTTTAAACAAAGAACACAGATGAGGGACAGACAATAGTAGACAATAAAAAGCGTATAAAATGAATTGTAAATAAAAGTAGTGATATTAAACGAAATCAAAACAAGCTACATTATGTAACGATGTAAAAAACTAAAAACGGGAACATGTCTGCGTTGGTTTTTGCCATGAACTTAGCAGTTGTTTAAAATCCCTTTGAGAGGTCAAAGTCGAGAGCTTCAGATGTTTTTGCAAGATATTACAGGAAACAGGAGTGGCGTCAGAGAAGACCTTTCTGTCAAGTTCAGTGTGCACTGAGTTAATGATGCTTATTAATTAATAAGTTAATGGAATACTGAGCAGTTTTTGTTGGAACAAAAGTTCAAAACCATGTTATATAATCTCTCAAACAGGAAGTAAGCAAAAAATCCTTATTTATGACAAACAGATTTGCAGTCCAACAAGTTTCAGTCAGGTCATCTGGGCAGTTTCTTTTTTTTTTTTTTTTTTGTGCTGAAACATTTCACCTTCCATCCAGAAGGCTTCATCAGTCAAGGAAACACACAACACAACTGATTCTTCCCCCAACAGCTTACTCCAAAGTGGAACAA